TCAACCCTGAGCCGGTGAGATTTGAACCGCTGACCTGCTGATCTAGCAGTAGCCTGCAGTGCTGCATTTAACCACTGCGCCACCTTGGCTCAACTTCTGGTGATCTGCAGTACCTACTTGGATTGTGGGTGAGAAAAATAACATATTTATACCTATAGTTTCACAAAACCAAATGGCTAACGTTTATATAAGAAAGCACATCCACGAACTTAGAAGATTCTAGCTTAGTTTTACTCCTTTTCTATCATTTATGTGAATTCTTCACATTTTGCCATATGAAATTCCCACCTGTAAACTGAAGTCCTCTCAGTGACAATTAGGCAACAGTTACATGTGGGAATATTTAAGGACAATCTCAATGCACATGTACCAGGGCCAAGTCCAATTATTAAGTTTTCTTATTAGCATTTTTAGAATAATCTTTCACTACAATTCCCTTTTCTAATTACTCTTCAATCACAATGATCAGTTTTAATCAAATGTAATTGGGAACTGGAAATACTTATGAGGAGGTTAAGGCTATTAAATCTAGGCTGCAAAATGAAGATTTTATGGAATGAAAGGTTTTTTTTTTTAACTTTGCAGGTATCATCTTGTTTTTTGCAGCTCAGCTTTAGTGTTTGCTGGTGGGTAAGGTGCAGACTTACAACTACAATTGAGCCCAAAATATATGTTGTTAAGTGAGACAGATGTTAAGTGAATTTTGCCCCATTTTACGACCTTTCTTGCCAAATTTGTTAATAGCTGCAGTCGTTAACTTAATAACATGGCTTCCCCACTGACTTTGCTTGTCAGATCACAAAAGGTGATCATGTGGCCCTTGGTCGTTGCAAATATCATAAATACGACTCAGTTGCCAAGCATCTGAATTTTGATCCCATGACTATGGGGATGCTGCAATGATTATAAGTGTGAAAAACAGTTGTAAGCCACTTTTTTCTGGGCCATTGTAACTTTCAATGGTCGCTAAATGAACTGTTTGTAAGTTGAGGACTATACATGTACCGAGGTGGCGCAGTGGGTAGAGTGCAGNCATACGATTTTGTACTGAGCATGAAAGCAAATTGCCTTAAAAATTAATCAAATCAAGACAGAATATATGTGAAACAAAACAAATTGTTGATGAAAACTCCAGGAGTGAATTATCAACACAAGGAGTAGGAATTAATGAGAAAGACGGATCCAATTCATCCATTTTCAAATCCACATAGCCAAAGATTTATTCAACCAGTCTTGCTGGCCATGGCTCCTTTTTGGAAAATAATAAGAATGTAAATGAAGTAATTAACCGCAAAGTGACTATCTCTTTTCTTGAATGCTTTGCAATATTGTTCAAACCCTGAAACAGAACAACCTAGGAAACATCACCGAAGAAACTTGTATGAAGAGCTCACACAACAAAAAACATATTGAGCATAACAGATATCAGAATTGAAACTCACACTTCTGCTAGGAGCTTTCGTTTCTTCAGTTCATTTTTATCTTTCTCTTCTAAACAATTAGTTTCTCCCTTCTGAACTTGAAGCAGCTTTTCCCTTACAGTGTCCTGAACAGATTCCATCTAGGAGAGAAAGATACTCACAATGGATAGAAGTGCAAAGTTCTCACTCTCTTCCTGTTTTTCTTGGATTCAAAAGCATTAAAGCAACACCGAATTTATTTAGTTCGTTCTTAAATATGTACTGTTTTTGTTCCACTTTGGACGGTTAGGGAGCAGAAATATAATGCTGCAGAAACAGGGACACCCTACAGATAGGAATTTTGATTACTCACTGCCTGGAATATCCGAGGCCCACTTTCTGAGCTCTTGTCTAGCCGTATCCATTTGTTGGACATTGCTTTGCTGAATCCCACCTTTCCACTTGGCATCTTCTACAGTAAAACAAGGTAAACATTATCTCATCAGATGAGAAGCCATAGAATCAGATCAGCAAAAAACAACTTAAATTTAGATCCATGCTAAATATAGATCCACAGCAGATAATATCAAACAAATAATTTCTCGGTAACAATTTAATACAATAAGTATATAGAGATGAGGAATTTTTTTTTACCATGAGTTCACTCTGAAGCAGACCCTCAGGGGGGATGCTATTAAATACTCGGACCTCATGGCTCCCTTCGTGAATAATCTCTTGGCCCTCAGGTGTCAATTCCCACGTTTTGGATGTACGTTGCTCAGCTTCGATCACCTAAAAAGAACATCAAAAAATATCTTCCTTGGCAACAAAAATAGGGAAAAAGCCAAGAGTGCTGTGTTTGATAAAAGAATCATAATAAGTCTGTGGAGTTCTTAGAAAGTTTTAAAGTACGCCAGAACTTTTTTAGCAATAGCAATAGCAGTAGACTTATATACCGCTTCATAGGCCTTTCAGGCCTCTCTAAGCGGTTTACAGAGAGTCAGCATATTGCCC